TATTTCATTAGTTTTACCCTTGACAAAAAAGTATATTGCGGTTATTGCAAAAATTGCATGAGAAATCGCTTGACACATCAGACACACTAACTCTACAGTGACAATAGCTATGGAAAATGGCAATAATTCATTCAGAAACTAATTTTCTTGACTGTTTTAGACAAAAATCCTTAGAATTTTAACTTAAAATTGGGTAACCTCTAAATGTCAGTCAGTCTCATATGACATTTCTTGAACATCACATGATACCATGGTGGCTTACCTTAACAAGAAAAAAATATTCATTGTGAATAACTCTAATAGTACATCCAATGCCCACAGCACGGACTATAACTCGGAAAGTCGGTTTCCAATTGATTTTCATGGTCAAGTCCAAGATTGTTGTTGTGCGTTCGGGTCAAACCACCGCCCTCCTCCCGCGCACCCTCCCCCCTCCCCTCCACTTTTGTATGAAAAATTTTCATGAAGAGCAGAAAGTATGGCGCTCTGTTCTGAACACAAAATTTTGGTCAACCGGCCTGCTGCCTGCAGCCTGGATAGTTTAAGAGTGTGTCCGAATTCAGCCACCGACCGAGCACCGACCGGTCGGTCGTCGAGCGGTCGGTGGCCGGGCCGTGGCGAGCCACTCGCTCCAAGCAGCTCTGCCACCCTTTCCACATTGGGTTAACCGCGAACCGCTAAATCCTTTCGCGGGGGATGATCGTAGGGCGCGGGTCTTACGCGGGGGATCGTCGCGGGTCCTCCGCGGGTCCTCCGCGGGTCCTCCGCGGGGGTAGTCGCGATCCGCAACCATCCCCAGCGAAAGGACTTCGTGTTTCGCGGTTGGCATAGCTGCTTGGAGCGGCTCGCGACCGGCCGCTCGACGACCGACCGCTCGACCACCGACCGGTCGGTGCTCGGTCGGTGGCTGAATTCGGACACACTCTAGGTTTAGATATTTGACATGATATTTGGTCAGTTTCACTGTGTAGGGTGGTAGATTCAAGAAAATCAGCTTGCAAGTGCGAGCTTAATCAAAGAGTTCGTGTCACACTTTTGTTCTCGATTCTCAGGCTGTGTTTCGTGTATTCTATACTCCTCTGCTGTTCATTCAGGCTATGGACGATGTCGATTTTGAACCACGTAAGAGAAGAGCTGCTGCGAAACCATCGGTCAAAGATCTGTCGGACTCTGAGGACGATGTGCCCAAGAAACGGACGAAGAGGAGAGGAGGCTCGGAGGACGAAGATTATCGTGACTCTGCAGAGGGATCGACCAAGCGGCCGAGGACGAGAGCTCCTCCCAAAACCAAAGCACCCAGGCCCAGGGCTCCTCCGAAACAAAGACTGAATATTAAGAGTGACACTGAAAAGGATGACATTCAACGAGAGCGACGCACCGCTCGAGAGGAAGACTTTGCTCAAGGGTCTCATCATGAGCAAGCAACGGCAGATCTTGTGGAGTCAACCGAACGCTATGACAGAGACGATGACATGGAGATTGGTGAAAGTAGCTCTAGTTCTCATCAGAATCCCGCCCCAGAGACTGCGTCTGTACGATTTAAGATTTTGGTCTTCCTATCAACCAGTTTTGTGCTCTGCTGGCAGGGAATTGGCTCTTGATACTTGTTTGATTTTCAGCGCTCAACGTCACATGTGGAAATGGCATGGAATGAGGCAGACCTCTTGGCACAGAATGAAGGGCTTGACAACTGGGTGGCACGGAACCTTGTCAAGCTTTTTGAAGGAGATAACACAATACCATTTATTGCCCGGTATCGTAAAGAAATGACTGGAAATATGGAACCAGAGCAGCTTCGACATGCCAAGGAAACATTTGAAGAATTGAAGTAAGTTGATTGATCGTATTTTCATCCTTGTCCCTGTATTTTTTCTTGAATAAATCATTTATCATGTCTTATTTTCCTTGCAGAGTTATCCAGCACAAGGCAGCAACAATGATCAAAAATATTGATAAACTGGGCAAAATGACCCCAACTGTACGGAAATCAATTGTCTGCGCCAAGAGCCTCAGTGAACTTGACTTAATTGTATGTATTTTTATAATTCAGAACTGTGTCTTTGTGCGGTTTGTTATTTCTACAACTTTCACATTTATATTTCTTTTGTTTACAGAATACACCTTTCAAAGCTGGCAGTAAGAGAACTTTGGCCGAACGGGCCCGCCTCTTGGGATTGGATCAGGCAGCTCAGATTGTTTTGGAAGGCTCTGACTACATTTCACTGTCTCATTTCATTAATAGAGACAAAGAAGGTCTCAGAGACAACAAAGAAGTGCAGATAGGAATTCAGCACATCTTAGCTGACATTATTAGCAAGGACAGAGGAGTATTAGATTTTATCACAGAACTGTAAGTGTATGATAGCTCATTTCTGTCAGTAATTGTCTATAGAATTACTGTTTGATTATAATTATCCTA